ACATTACATAAGTGAATCCCTTTAAATCTCTATAAGAAAGATGCACAGGCTATAAAATGCTTTATAATGAGCTTACAGTGTTTCAAAATCATATAGAAATCATGTAATAATGTTAAGATTCTGACATAATATGCATACATTTATAAGAAAAACTTAAGAGTAAATTTATGACTGCAATTGGGACTAATATACACAGATCTGGTTACCGTCTTGGTCACTGAGTTCCAAACATATAAAGTATATTAACTATGGTGTTTAGAACTATATAGAGCAGTTAGTATGGAAGAAGCTCAAGAACAGTACCCCTATACTTTGGAGCTAAGCTTATCATTCCCACCAGTAAAACCAAATCAAAGCAAACAAGATTAGCTTGTCACATGAAGGCAGGAAGAATCACAGAGAAAAATCTAATAAGCCGGGCCGGGCGCAGTGGCTCACGCCCGTAATCCCAGCACTTCGGGAGGCCGAGGTGGGTGAATCACGAGGTAAAGAGATCGAGACCATCCTGGTCCACATGAAGAAACCCCGTCTCTACTAAAAAAAATACAAAAATTAGCTGGGCATGCTAGTGCATGCCTGTAGTCCCAGCTACTCGGGAGGCTGAGGCAGGAGAATTGCTTGAACCCAGGAGGCGGAGGTTGCGGTGAGCCGAGATCACGCCATTGCACTCCAGCCTGGGTAACAAGAGTGAAACTCTGTCTCAAAAAAAAGAGAAAAATCTAATAAGCCTTGTCAATGTGAAAACCATGTAGCCCAGTTAATGTTACAGACCTCTATAAAAATCAATGTCTCAATCAATGGTGACAGAAACTTCAAAGGAATGTTTAAGAAGATTTCTAGGACTGTTTGAGGAAGACAACGCCTTACTTCAGGTCTTCCGAACAACTGAGTTGCGGACTGGTACTGGTCCGTGGCCAGTTAGGAACCAGGCCACACAATAGGAGGTGGTGAGAAGTGGGAGTGAGAATTACTGCCTGAGCTCCACCTCCTGTCAGATCAGCAACAGCCTTAGATTCTCATAGGAGCATGATAACTGTACATGCAAGGGATCTAGGTTACATGCTCCTTATGAGAATCTAACACCTGATGATCTGAGATAAAACAGTTTCATCCAAAACTATTCCCATACTCCCTACCTCTCCACTCCCCACCCCGCAACCAACCGCTGGAAAATCTGTCTTCTACAAAATCAGTCCCTGTGCCAAAAAGGTTGGGGACTGCTGTCTTACTGGATGCAATAGGAAATTACAGTTCACTGGTAGTGGTTATCAAGATATAGGGCTAATACATCTTAAGTTGCTCAAAATTTTTCTGTTTATAATGTGGCCATCCATACAGAGTATACAAGGGAATATGGTCATCTTGACATAAGGAACTTGATCTGCACTATAAGACTGACTTAGGCATCAGAGATTTGGGTAAGTTATCTGGCTCCACACCTTACTGCTGTCACCTGCAGCAATCACACAGGTGCCTGATGAAGACAGGGTCATGTGCTATTTCTGGCTCTGAAAGGTTAAGGTCAAGATGAGGAAATTCTGGCCTAAGAAATCTTGCCTAAGTGGTCAGCTAAGCTATAAGGATTGAAGTGAATCAGCACGGACTCTATAACAAAAATGAGAAGCTATTTTATAAAACCAAAACCTAATATATATTTACTGTTCTAATAAGAAAGGAAGGCAAAAAAGGCTGTCAAACAATGAATCAAATATTTACTTTCTAGTTGTTCAGATAATAAATAAGCACTTACTATATTCTGATAATTAACTTTCAGGTCAGCTGGTGTCCTTTTATTATTATCTCAGCAACTTGTGACTAAGGATCATTAAAAAGTATATGGCAAAATGCTCAGTTTAACACCTAACTATGCTACCCCCAATTTTAAGCCAAGTGAAGGTTAGATTTATAATGAGATAAAATCCTCAAGCAACAGAAGTGGAAAAAATAAGGATTCTGAATTTCCTATCAACTAACTACATTTTTATAACTGGAGAACTTTTTCTGAACACAGGCATAAGTATTTAGTATATTTAATTCTCTTAAGAATATTTAAAAATAAGAGGTAAGAAAATATTTGGCAGGTTTTCAATTTATTTTAGGTTTTAAATTGAGATAATTAGACAAATGACAAAGATAGCAATTTTGGTGATTGCAGGATGATACAACACCTGTGTAGCTAGGGCTGTACAAGAATTTTTATTTGGTTGATAGAAAACTAGAACTGAAATCAGTTGCTGAATTTCAACCAATTTAGGTGAATTACTTGACCTATAAGCTATGTAATCCTAAATTTCTCAATGTAGCTGCCAGAAATCTATTTTCCAAATGCAACAACAGCTGGTTTTGAACAATACTGCAATATAGCAATTTTCAGTTATTCCAAAGTATTTTTCTCTTGCTAAAATTATAAACATAATTGAGGAAATAATTTTCAGATTTTCTGAAAGACTGTACTACTTTTAAAGGGAAAAACAAACTTGAATATCCTGACTTTTTAGTATTAAATATAATGATAGAGTGTAACTTCACCTTCATTTTAGAAATAACTTAACCCCACAGTGCCTGCAGGCACTTCAATATGTAGATAATTTCCAAATCACCAAACATGTTGCTTGAATATTACATCCTTCTAGGAAGAATAGACAAATGGGCCAATTAAGCCCGAGGTGAATAATACTTTAAACTTATTAAGCTTTGTAAATAATTGAAAAATGGCTCATTAGTTCAAATACTGTCATGAACACACAAAATAAATACAGACAATTCCATATGAGGTTAATCCCAAAAGAAGCTTAACCTTTCAGGTGAAATTAATATTTCAAGTTCTTAGAATTGTTCTTGGCAGTTGACTCAGTTTCACTGGCAAATGACTCAGTTCCTTACTCATGGATTTAATTGAGAATGTTTACAAGTCTTCGTTTCACTCCATTCCTTTCTAACTTACTCTCTCCAGTACTGGGCAATCTTTTGTGGGCTCTGGATCCAGACTGCCTGGATTTAGTACTGGCACCATTCCCTGCTTACAACCTAAAGAGATCCTGAGAAGCACAATAGAAACTCTCTAAACCACAAACGTACTCTTACAAAATGCTAACAATACTGATCATGTAGGTGTGGATTCAGTAAACTTAGTTGATATACACAAAGAACTTAAAACATGCTCGGTATATAGTAAGTGTTCAACAAATGTAGCTATTATTATTATCTCTCCTCTGGTTTGGGCAAAAGAAATGTTGCTCCTTCATGCCTAGGCACCTCTTCAAGGTCCTTATCTCTTCACTGTCTTGCATTGTTAGCCTCACACCCACTCCTGGGCCTCCGCCTTTGTCTAAGAACGTTCTGCCTCTCTTGCGTGTGAGCAATCCCTGCTCATACATTCAAAACCTAACTAAACAATAAAAATCTTCACGTGATTCAGGCAACACCCTTCATAGCTGCTCCTCCATTCTCTTTTACACAAAACATTATAGTTTTTGAATACTCTATATTCATTTCTTCCACTGTTTTCTTTTACTTTTACCTTTTGCAGTTTCACTTATTTCTTAATAGTCACCTAATCAATGAATCCAGCAGCTTTTTCTCAATCCTCATATTTCTCAACCTTCCTACAACTGATGAGATCTCCTCCCTTTTTCGAAACTGTTTCATTTTCCTTCTGTGCCACTATCCTATCCTAACCCTTCCTTCCTGTTTAACTACCACTTCGCTACCTTCTGAGCTGTTTTCTTTTCCCATTCCTTCCATCTAAGCCTGTATTCACAGGAGTTCTGTTCTCCAATTTTCCCTACCTCTCTGCACTCTCTCCCAATTGATGAAGCCCTATGATTTCACCACCACGGGATGTTAACTCCCAAATCTCCACCTCTAATTCTGAACACCACCCCATCATTGCTCTAGTCCTGCCTTTTCTGATTGCTGAGATGTTCATTTGCTTGTTCAACCAGCACCTCAAACTTATCTTGTCCTAAATCAAACCTGTCTTCTTAATATTTGTACTTTAATGAGTTAAATGTAACCATCATTCTTTGAATTGCCAAAGTCAAAACATTTGGATCATCTTTTCTCTCTCACTCAGCACAGTGTTCTGTGCACAGGCTCTGGAGGTAGATGGCGAACTTGTATCCTGATTCTTCCACTGCATGGCAGTGACCTTGAGCAAGTCACTGAGCTTCTCCAAGTTTCATTGCGGCCTTCATAAATAGTTATGAAATTTACATGAGAACACAGTTGTGTAGTTTACATGAGAAGATGTATATAAAGGCACAAAGAGTTTAGGATGTGGCAAACTATGATGTGGACGACAGAAAAACAATCTCAATGATCTGTTCATACTCTTCCCATTCCTTATATAACTCTTGTCACATCTCACATGGACCTTATCTATGTCATCACAAATACATTTAAACACAGGAGGACAACCTTGGTTGTAAGTGTTTGAATGCCTCAAATTTTCATTCATCTCAGCTAAGCCATTCCAAACCAAGACCTAGAACACAGATCTACTTATATATCCATGTGCTTTTCTCTCATTGTATGCTAAATACCAGTGTGAAGAGAATTTAGGAAGTGACTGTATTTGACCCCCATTTCAAACAACATTTTATAAAACATATGGTCAGAAATTGAAATTACTCTCAATTCCTGATAATGTAGTGTAGGTATCAGTAACAAACTATAAACTGTTTTGTTATTACCCTAGCCAAACAACCACCTTGTGTTCCCCATTTTCCCAGGAACTGAAAGAAAAGTAAATTTAATTTTGGCCCCCAAAAGATTTAACGATTATAACAATTACTAGAAAACAATATCAGAATCATATATTATATTACACAGTCAGTATGAGTTATTTAATGCCTTTTGCTTTGTATTATCAGTGACTTTGTATCCCTGCAAGAAAGCAGAGTTAAAGATTTTTATCAGTGTCCATCTAAATATTTACCGAATTTGGTTAAATTAGATATCTGTAATTAGTAGTTTTTAAAAAGAAAGAGGAGAATTACCGCTAACGACTGTAGCTCTCTTGTTTCTTCCTCTGCTGCTGAAGCATGATACGACAGAACCTACAGGGTAGGAAAAGAAGTCCAGGTTACACAGGAGAGATCTACCAAATGAAGACTAGAACTTCAATCTTGGAATTCTGCTAAGTCTATTTGAGAGATAACTAGACTCCTCAGAATGTCAAATTTTGTCTGCTTTCTTCAACCATGAAAAACCCAGATTTAAATTCCATCGCTTGTTTTCGAAAACAAAAAGTTATACTCCCTATGTTTAAAGAAAACTCTTGTAACTTTCATTCTGACATTATTGCTATAACAAACACATTATTTATAAGCCGGCCTAGAAATAACTTTTGGCTCAAACTTGGCAGAAAATGTATTTTCTTTTTTTAAAACAATATTGACTTTAGTTATTTTTGCTTGTGTACAGAATTAAAGGAAAAATCTTGGTGTAATCTGACATTTTGATGTTAGTATTGGGAAAGAAAGTAGTCTAGAAGTGGCTCTCAGATGAGGCCGGTAACCACTCTAGAATTCACACAGAAAAACTGGATGCCTGAGACATAATCATACAGATTGAAGGTTCCCTTTACACTCCTACAATTTAAGAGCTGAGAAGAGAGTAGTGCTGGCCAGTAAAGCCATCCATTGAAAGTTGAGGACACTGAGGCTCAGGGATTCTCATGATTTGGCTATAAGCTCACACCTAGTGACAAGACAAGGGGGCTAACGACTCAGCTTTCAATTCCTAACCTAAACACAATTCATTACTTAGAAGAGTTAAAAAATCAGGCTTACTGACTTAATTTCTGTTTTCAAAAGTGATCATTTCTAAGTATAGACTGAGCATTGCAAACGTAAAAATCTGAAATCCAAAATGCTCTAATAAGCATTTCCTTTTGAGTGTCATGCTGCTGCTCAGAGAGTTTTGGATTTTGGAACATTTTTGTGTTTGAGATTTTTTTGATTTGGATTATTCAACCATTAAGTATAATGCATGCATTCCAAAAATCTGAAAAAAAAAATGCAAAATACAAAACACTTCTGGTCTCAAATCCCATTACTCAAACTGTAATGGGATTTCTAAAAACATTCTTTTAGGTATTTAAAATATCTATTGTGCTTTGAAAGAATATTTTTTAAAGTTCATTTTTGACAGAGACAACAGAGATTTACAACAAAACCCAAGAGCTTAAAAATAATTGATAAAAAGGTAGCTGATTTTCAAACTTTAAATGGCAAGTAAAGTAATTCAGCAACCCAAACCAGTATTTCTTGAACCAGTCTTCAAAATTTTAAGTAATTAAAAATCTAAAGCCAAGTGACACATATATGTACTATCTTATGATTTAGAACTGTTGTGATACTGTATTACATTGGATCTTTCTCGGCATTTGAACCATTAATCACTAGAAAACCTCGGGAAACTCAGAGCTGCTCTCTCCTGCCCATGTGAAATTGATGGGTCATGGCTGTAACCTGTTACTGCTGAGACCATAGTGGTGGTCCCCAAGAAAAGCTAAGACTGTGACCATGAATTAGCCTAGTATTAATAAGGGCAAACATGGATACATGCATAAAGAAATGACACAATACATTCTAAGTTAAAAAAATAATTTTACTAAACACAAAAGATAAAAACAGCACCTTACAAATGGGGCCTAAGGATTAACTTTGTTAATACATATAAGCATTAGAATACAATTGAAACATTAGATAAAATTTAGTTGTTTTTATTGTCAACATTGTTTTATTGTTATTAGAATGATCACAACTTCCAGGTCAAAATAATTCACTATCTTTTGAAGAGCTGAGGGATTTGTGCCCTTGGCTTTTATCCAATGGCCTCAGAAAGAAAGGAACGTTTTTTTCCAGGTTAGATCTGTGATCATAGAAATGACATCACATATGACCTGAAATCAAAAATATTTTATACTAGGTAAAAGCCTAATTATCCATATATTTAACTGATGGAGAGCTGTAAAGTAAAGATAGAACTAAATCTCAATCAAGAAAATACTCAGAGATTTTAAACAAAGTAATACTGTCTGGTATTGCTTCAAACTAAGCCAGTGGGAGGGGAAGGGGAGTGCAGAGGAGAGAGGTGGGAGTGGATGGACTGATACTGGCTACGGGTTGATAATGACTGAATGGATGATGAGTACGTTAGGGTTTATTAAGCTGTTCTTTCTACTTCTGTATATGTTTGAAACTTTCCATAATAAAACATTTAAAAAAAAGAAATAAATTCTAATTGATAGCTGACTTAGATTCATTTTTTCAGTGAAAAACCATGGAACTGAAAAAATTAGATTAAAAATTATATATATAATATATAAATACACATATACACAGATATATGTACATATGTATATATGCATATTTAAAGCTATTTGTATACATATGTATGTGTGTTATATGTATCTAATTGAAAATATATTTGAAGTATATACCTTTGTTTATATATATATATATATATATATATACTTGCAACCAATTTCTGCTGGTTATAATTCAAGTCTTTTATATAATACTATAGCAAACCTATTAGTACAATATAGCAGCCTTTCATATAATACTATAGCAAACCTATTAGTATAATATATTCAGCAAAGAAACCTATTAGTATAACATATTCAGCAAAGAAACCTATTAGTATAATATATTCAGCATAGAAAGTAAAGGGTACTCTCTGGTAAATTTTATATAATATATGTCCCTCTAGCTCTTTAGATTAGGTATGTATTTAATGAGACATTGAAGGAAATATTACTATATCCCAAATACTGATTTTCTCTAATTTCAACTAGATAAGAAATCTCCACGTTATATCAATTGAACATTTTCAAGGCAGTTAGTGAAACATATATGTAGAAAGGACTGACCCTGTTGGAATAGGTCAGTCCTATGTGAGAAACGGCCTTCCTAGGTCAGTCCCTGGCAGCCAGTGGTTTCTTCACTCACTACCTGCACATTCAGAGTCACTTGGGGGAGCTTGGTAGTCACACAGATTCCCAGCCTCTACCCAAGACTTACTGAATTAGAACTTTCAGAAGTAGGGTATATAAATTTGTAATTTGAATAGTTTCTCAGATGATTCCAGGAGTTACAACTCTTCTTGCTATTCGTTGATTTTATTTTTTCTTCTCCTCACTTCCTCACTCCTAATTCTCTCAAGAGTGCCTAGGGTTTCTGGTTTGTTTTTGGTTTTTTTTGAAAATTTTTTTCACAACTGTTCTCATAGAGAGATGGGGAGGCTCAGGCAATGGGAAAGGGACAGATAAACTATAGTGGGAGTAGTCATCGATGTGAATGGATTATTAAAGTCAACATTGCTTTTTGCAGAAAAATGAAAGGCCAAAAGGGATAAACATCCTGAGTTGTGGTTTGGTCATATGACCTTTGACAAGTTTCTTAAATATTCTGAGTCTTAGTTTCTTTCACTCTTTAGTTGAGGATAACAAGGATCTCATCATCTAAATCACATAATCTTGGTGAGGACACAATGACAGAACACACACACACACCAGGAGTGACTATGAGGGAAAGGTAAAAGGTGAGTGTTTGGTAGTAGGGAGTGAGAGTTCCCTAAACTTCACCCACCTCCAATGTGACCATTTGCTTGGCCATGGCTCTCTCCACCGCTTCATACATCTGCGTGTTCTGGATCCCTAAGCCACAAAAGATGACAAAAGCTTCCAGAAACTGTTCATCATTTCGATTGAAAGGCTTAACCTTACCAGTATTCTCCTCCATCTTATTAACAAGTTGGCAAACCCCTGTAACAATCAGAGAAATTGAGCAAACGTTATTGTTAATTATCATAGTTTTTGTTGGCTTTTATGTACATGCCCAAAGATTGTCTTATACTTTTCTCCGAAAAATGCTTGGTATGCCAAAATAAGCAAATGAACCTCCACAAATATAAGCAAGAGAAGTAAACAGAATTTATATGAGAACTAGTTTCACGTAGTCTTAAACATACATTGCTGATGTTCTAAAAATCCTAGAGTACTATTTTCTTCCAGACTCCGTCATGAATTTTAGATCAGTTGAGTCCCCAAAGACAATTTGTCCTTTGGAAACTAATTGGACTGTTGTACACTTGCCAACAGAACAATTTTGATGCACATCAGAATTTTGGGTCACATAGATCTCCTTTCCTTACTGAGAAACCAGAAGTTAAAAAAAACACACACAGTTACATACAAAATAGAATGCAGAAAGGAGGCAACTGACATAGGCAGTCTCAAATTTCAAATCTATACCTCTGCATCCAGGAGAATTATGTTTGCAGAAAATTTTGATATTGCAAATAATTATGCAAATAAAAATGACTACTTAGAAATAAAAGTCAAATACTTAGTCAATAAAAATGGAAGATTATATCAACATTAAGATAAATCTTTACTGAACTGATTGTTCTATGGCTTTCTGAGCCTCATGGTCTCTCTGATGAGTGACCTCACAGAGGTCACTTTGGTGACCCAACCTACCTACCTCTCTGTAAACAAAGTGTTGTTAAAGTCCTTATCACTTCTGAGTATTTAGTAACAGACTTCTACCATGTGCCCACTGTGGGACTGGAATTGTCCTAAATACTTTGGTAGACACATGAACTCTAGTCTTCACAATTTATTCTGTGAGGTAGATGCAACCATCCTCGTTTTACAGATAAGGAAGGTGAATCTCAGAAAGGTTATTTCATTTGCTCAAAGTCACTTAGCTGGTATGTGTGGGTTTGAAATTCAATCCCCAGCCCAGCCTGGCCCAAGGGCCGCTCTCATCTGCCATGTTACCTGTCAGATCATTGCTAGCAGTACCCTGATTGCAACTTGCTTGCCCACAACCTCTGCTCCTGCTTTTCCACAGGCCTGCACTACTCCCCACTGCCTTCCTTCCTGCCTCTCCAGCTGATCCCTACACCTCCTTCACAATGAGTTCCAAGAGGCCTCCCACTTACAGGTGAGGCAGACATTTTTCTACCCCCTTAACATGATCAGTTTGTGTATCATGGCAAATTTTATTTCTATTTCTCTTTCTAGACTGTCAGTATCTTGGGCTTAGAGATTTTATTTTTTTTTTTTCAGCTCTACTTCTTCAGCTGGCAAAACGCCTAGCATATAGTAGGAACTAAAAAAATGTTTTCCAAATTAATGACGGAATGTAGAATTGCAGCTCTGACTGTAACTACTTTCCCATGAAGACTATAATAGACTATTACCCTTTATTTTTCCTGGAGCTCAAAAGGATTTCACAGAATCTGGAAGATGGTTGCACATTAAGCCCCTTTACCTCCACCGATGTTCACTTTATTTACTTTTCATGCTATAAATGATCTAAACTCCTTTTTGCTCTTTTTGTTTATCTACTTTAAACAGTAAACACATCTACATGCCTATCTATTTGCATTAGTGCTGCAGAAGTTAGGTTTTTTTTTTGTAATCAATTATTCCATAGTCAAGGAAACTTTAAACATGACATAATGAGTTTGGACACTGCTAGTAAAAGCCATGTACTAAATGGCAATCGGCGTTCATTATCTTAAATGTATGTAGCCTGTGTATGGCAAAAAACAAGAACAACACAATAAAAACAAACAAACAAACAAAAAAACCAGGGGTTATATCCTTCAACCTTTGTGAATCTCCAAATTATAAATATGGAACTGTTTATATAGACTTCTACCTCCTAAATCACATTTCCTTGAGAGTCACATTTCATGCCCTTATCCTCACACCACAATGAATTGCCTTTCAGATTTACAAAAGTTTTCTCTTACTTGATAGCCTTTTTCATAAACAAGATTTAAAAAATTATTTCATAAGCATTACCACATGTATGGCAAGAAAAGTACAACACAGAGGGGTTGAGATGTGAATACCAGGTAGTCTGCAAGGCTTATGACCTAGCTAAGTAGCTCTCCTGTACAGCAGTTCAAATCTATGCCTTAGTCAAAATTCACTGAATGAATATATGAGTTATATATGAGAGTTATGAAATTATACCTGTGGAATTGCTCACAAGTCCTTTAAATGTAATGTTATGTGTATAAGTACCGAGGTTCTGCTATAACAAATACAGCTCAGAACAGAACAGCTAAAGTATATCCATCTATTGATCCACATTATAGATATAGATATATGGACACAGAGTTAAGCTCTGGGGAAAACAACAACAACAAAAAGCGGGTACTGAAGACAAATCATCCATTAAGGCATATAAATTAATTTTCTTTTGAAAGTGAGGCCATGTTTATATAGCATTCCTGATAATCCCATTGATCTCTTAATACTCTTCAGAAAATGTAATTATCTCAAACAAAAATACCCATGTTAAAAAAAAGTTCTTAAGAAAAAGAGGGCTCATAACAAATGGATTTCCCTGTTTAAGAACATCAAAACCTGGGCACATTACAGACAGTTTTCACAGTTTCTTCCTTAACGATCTGAAACAAGTAAGGAGTACAATAATGAAACTTAAAACAGGAAGTCTGAGATGCCACATTACTAAGAAACTATTCCAAATCAGAATCACTTATATTTGAAAATGAAATTATTATTGCAAAACCAAAAATAAAAGAGAGCCATCTAGCAAAATCCCATTAATAAGTAAAATCATAAAATAAAACCTCATTAAAAAACATATTAGGGGAAAACCAAGAAGCAGTAAAGTTAGACAGTAAAATATCAGAGTTACCTAACATTATAGAGTTCATAAAGTACTCAAAATGTCGTCATGATAGTAGGTCAGAGAGCTAATTAGCATTGAAGGCACCCGCTGGAAATTATGCTGACGGGATTAGATGGCTTCTAAAATTAAACAGTTATATTTCCTTTTCCATAATTCCAGGGATCAGATGTTGTTACCAGTCAGTCTTCCTCCTGGCTCTTTGGCAGAACAGGGGGTTGATGCTTACACTCTGTTTGCAGTCTTATGTCCTCTCTACCACACACAACATGAACCCCAAAATTAGCATCCTGCCTTATTAAAATGTAAATCATACCTTTATCACCTGTTTTGCAAATAGTTTTGTTTCTGGACTTTTCATTTGTCAGTCATCTTAATTTGAAGAAGTTTTTGCTGTATAAAAGATTTAATTTTTTAAGGAGCCAAAATAATTATCCTTACAATACTCAACTATAGCGCCTCGCTTTTAAAAGAGGCTTCCTCATTTTAATATTATAGGTAAACCTATATTTCCCCTAGTATTTTATAGATGTATTATATTACATTTAATCTTATAATCAAACTTAATTTTTCTCCCAACTGCTCTTGGAGTCTTGTAACATCAGAACAGTTATTCTTTCTCTGATGATCTGAATTGTCACAGTATACTGTATTCATATTTGTTTTAACTATGACATACTTTTCCCACATTTTAATATTTTTGAAATCAGTATGCATGGTATAATCAATATCTTGTCATAGTAAATTGAAACAATATTTTACTTTATTGGAGACATGTAAAATGGTGTCTTTCATTCAAAAGGCATCTTACTTAAAAATAATGAAATATACCCTATTCTGTTATAAACAATAACACATTTTATATGCCATATTATGGGTCTGCATTTAGACTTTCTGTTTTGTTTCACCAATCTTGACATGTCTTTTAGCCCCTATATCATACTTTTAATTATTTTACTTTTGTATCATTTTAATTTCTGAAAGGGCAATTCTGCAACCATCAGCTATGATTCTTTTTACATCTCCAGTTGTAAGTATTATCAATGTTTGTAAATGGTGATCAGGAACAACCCCCATCCCACCCAGATCTCACAAGGATACATATTAAAACTGATACAATCTGGGGAGAGTTGATATCTCATACACTAGATTTCAATCGTTCCAGAAATGTATTCACTTCTTAATGATTTTTAAGTCACTCAGAATTTTGTAGTTTTCCTCATATAAATGGTATATATTTCTGGCTAAGTTTATTTCTTGTTACCACAGTAAATGAGATTTCTTTTCCCTATTGTTTTCTAACAAATTTGTCTTAGCATATATTAACATTATTTCTCATTAATAATTTGATAATGAGGCCCCTTTAAAAACTCTTATAAAATAGGTACTTTCAGCTAATTCTTTTTGGGTTTTCTATTTGACAATAATATAATTTGTAAGATATTTGGCCTCTTTTTTTCTGTGGCTCACCTTATTTCAACCTTGCCTCCCTTCTGATTGCTTTGGTTAGAATTTCGTTGAGGAATATATATATTTTTTGACAAATTCTTTTTCAGTTGCTTCCATGAAAAATTCTAAAATCCTCTTGAGCTAGTATTGCTTACCACCAATTTTTACAGAAATTCTCCATTTTGCCAAATGTTAATTTCTATTTGCTCACTGTAATATCAAGTATCTTTTAACATGTTTTCACTATCTGTAGTTACAGTCCCTCTCTCATTCCTATTTGCATTTCTCTCTTAATATCCTCATTATCTGTTGGAGATTTGTCTATTATTATTGTCCATTATCTCTTGTTTTACTATTTCTTCCCATTTCGTAAGTCTATTTTTTTCAAATTTTTTCTTCTACTTTCTTTCTTCTTATGTATACATTTATTTGGGGAAGGCAGCAAAATGAGAAGATAAGGGTGCTGCTTTTCTAATTTCTATGGTTGAATACTTAAGTTTTTTTTCATTATTTCTTAATAATAATAAAATATTTAAAGCTACATAATTCCCTCTGAATATAGCTTTGACCATGTATATTGAGTTTTTATGTTAATAGAATACTTAATTTTCTAAAATGCTGTAATTTAATTATCACTTTTGATTTCTTCTTTGTCAGTTAGGAGAATGCTTTCCAGGTTCTCAGTGAGTTTTTTCTTTCCAACCTATCCTTTTATTATATATTAATAGTTTTAATGCACTGTGATCTATGAAAGTGGCCAAAAATTCTGCTTTTCAGAAATGACTTTGTGCTGCGTATCATTAATATTTGTTGATTTCTGATGGATATTTGAGGATAATTTATATTTTTAAATTCTGAAACATAAAAGTAAAGCTATATGTATGTGAATTAGATCAATTTAATTTTTATCAACTCTAATGCTTTCTTATTTTTCCCTATAATTTAACACTGGCAAGTATACTTCAGGCCCAGTATGATTATCATTTTGTCCACCTCTCCGTGTATTTTTAACAGTTTTAGTTTTTGTATGTCAATGATGCTATTTAGTTTATTAGCATTTACGGCAATTACATTTTTCTCTGTGGGCTTTAATATTACTCAATGAAAGGCAATTCTTTACATTACCTTTTACCATAAATTCTACTTTGTTTGATAGAAATATTGTTATCCCTATTCAATTTTTGCCCATGTTGTGTAAAATGTGTCTTTACAAATGACATATACTTCACGAGTTCCAGGAATTCCTTAGTGTTTCTGACCCCCTAAAGACTACTTCTCTGTTTTCTAGTGCTACTATGAAGTTTTCCTTATTTTTCTGTTTCTTCAGTCAATTATTGAAGCTGTGATCTTTACATTTATTTTTATTATATAGATCTTCATTTCTATAATTCTAAGCTTTAATATCTTAATTCCATTTTTTTCTAATTTTCTTCCACCTGTTACTGCCTCTACACCCTACAGTCTTATTTACTTGTGCTTATCATAACTAGGCATAATTTACAATTCTCTAACTCAGAAAAAAACCTAGATACTTTAAGTAATACAAGAAATGTATACCATGGAAGACAATGCACCATTTAATTATAAACAGATGATCAGTTAGCGATATCGCCAAGGGATAAAATTAAATATGAGAAGTAAAATGAAGTAGAAGTCAAATTTAAGCTGATATAACACTAGGATACTTATTTATGGCTTGAAATTCTACTTCAATGCACAGAAAAGCAGCTTATCTCTATGCACCTATTTAAAGGTCCACTCCCGAGTAATTTATTAAATAAAGCCAAAATAAATTAACAGAGTAAGATAAGATGGTGTGGGAGTGACAGTCAATGATTCAAAAACTTATTGAGGCCTACTCAAAAAATTCTGTAAGCTTGCAGGTCTCCCAAATGTACCGACACAAAGGAACTAAAATGAGGTGTCATTTGGAGAATCAGAATGATGTACGTATTTAGCCAGTTCAAATACGCTACAAGAACAAGTTTGAAAGTGTAAGAGACTTAGAAAATTCACTGTGGAAATAAAAAACAGAAACTTCTTACAGTGTAGATGCGAAAGGATTAAGATAGTAACCAGTTCACAAATACATACTTCTCGTATTTCTCTGTCAAACGTGGTGGAGCACTGTAATTTTTATTTTTTATGCTTTTCTTTACTAAAAATGAGATGAAAAAGTAAGCTATTTAAAGTGAAGATGTTTTAAGCATCCTTTTTTTTATTTTTCAATGGGAATAGGACTAATTTCTTCAAACTTTATTCTGAAATTCGTATGGAAAATATAGGCATAAAAATGTCTGGTAAATATGACATTGGAAAAAGGCATATTTAGCATGATAAGTAGGAAAAATAATTAGTTAAAATAAATGAATAATAAATGATAAATGAATAATTATATAAATGAATAAATGATAACAAACGATAAATGAATAGTAAATGATAAATAAATAATAAATGAATAATAAATAAAATAAATGAGAAATATATTTCCTTAACAGTATTGGAAGCAAAGTGGTAGAAACATTGTGTATTAGTTAGGGCACTGAGAAAACATTTGATAGGAAACAATACCTCAGGGAATAAATGTGATGGGACAGCAGGCCCCATACTGATCTAATGTCTATAATTTCAACTAAATGTCAGTAATGGAAAAAATGAGAGGGAAGGAAGAAGATAACAGAAAACACATGCGTCTGTCTGTCTTTCTGCACTAACTCTATAGGGATTCTCTATTAGAATTACATAATAGTGGAATCTGGTCTATGACATGTAAGACAAATTATCCATAATCATGACATTTTCCATGCTGCAGCTGTAGGTACCTTAGTCCAGAAATCAAATTCTTAGTTTTGTCACATTTGTAAAACAGCAGGGAACACTGGAAAATTTCCCTCTCATATTTGGGATCTACTTGAGAACCTCTCCTCACCTTGCACAAAACCCTACTAGAGAAATCATTTCCTTTTCCTTTCTTTTCATTTACCAGGATTTTTCTCTCCAAAATCAACATTTGCCTACTTTTGGCTCTGTTCAAGTAGGGTGACACAAAATACATGCTAAGAAAAGTCTGATTATTTCATTTTTTATATTTTGCTTACTTGTCTGACACAGTGACAGGATCACAGAATGTGAATTTTGAACAAATCTGAAAGGTTATTAAGTTCAACTCTACAGAGGTAAGTAATGTACCCATAAACGTGCATGAAGATGAGTGGCGTTAACACAATGCTGTGAGTGTGACTCCTGGGCACTGCGCTTTCCATGTCACCTAACTCGCTTTCATTTACCATACACATAAAGTGACAAAAGGGCCTGATGCATAACTTCCTCCAGCCACTCCCCATTCCCAGTTATTATTTTAAAGAAATGCTGCTAAAAACGTGAAGATGTGACTTGATGCTGCAAGCTGCCACTCTGCCTTCCTTCCTATGACAATTTACTAGCAAACAATGCATTCCATCTGGAATTTAATTTCACACTTACAAAGGCTGAAGACAGCTTGTAGTAAATCTTTATACTAATAAAAAAGCACTTTAAAAAGCATAACACTTATAGTTTTCCCCTTGACCTCCCTAGGAAATAAAATTTTATAACATTTACATGGTATCATATTGTAAGGCACCCTCAGCAGTTTTCTTTTATTGCCTATGTTAGAGATCTGATCAGTGAGAATCTTTTAAAAAGATCTCACAGATTCATTAGCCTCCACTTTTTTCTCCGAACTGTAGAAGAGTTGACTCAACAGCCCAGCAGGGGGTTGGCATGCTGGCTTCTAAGAGGCTGTAATGCACAATTCACTAGCCTTAGGAGCTGACCCTCAGCCTCCTAGCTTAGACACTAGATTACCATACGAAGACTGCTGGGGTGGAGTCACAGTAACTAAGTTGACAAGACTGATTTTTAAAACCAGAATGGTATCAATGTTCAAAAAGAAACAGACCCATCCCAGAAACAGAAGTACAAGCACCTGCAGCTCTAGTCCTCTACCTCAAGTCCAGTTCATACAATAAGAAACAACTGTCAGGGCAACCAGTATATTTTAAGATGACATGAATAACGCATTCTCTTCCCATGAACTAACCTACACTGGAAAAGAAAGTAATCCGTACAAGTTGGGTGGGTGGGACTGGAATCAGAACAAGGGAAATCAGACTCATAGAATGTTTAATTGTACTAAGCTGATGTATCCCTCTCACAATAAGAATGCAATCTATGCAGAGGGACTGGGAATTGGTAGGATATTATTGGCTATAACCTGCTGTATCCACTGCACCTAAGCAAAGACTCACCATATGGTCAGAATACTCAATGCACACTGATACAACTCTCTACATACATCTCTGTGTTAGGGACAAATGTCACTTTACTCTTGCACCGAACTTGGATAGGCACTTTTAACATCTGTCTTTTCTTTCTCTATTTTCATTATTGATACCTTCTGCTCCCTCTTTCTGACAAAAACTCTCATTCAATAAAATTATAGTCAAATCTTGCAACTAGAAAAGTTTTTAGACTTTTAATATTGTATTTATATATGTAAGTGTTGCTCCATTAGGGTTTTAATTCTAAATGTAACCTTTAAAAAGTTAATATTTTCTTTATTTTCAGGTTCTTAGGAGAATGTTAACAGTTCAGATCTTTTTCGCTAAATCAACCATGGATGACTGGCTTATAAAATCCTACTTAACCTTTATATAACCGCAGTACCAGGAAACAAATATGTCATTAAAAGGAGACATCATTCAATTTTTCTGAGAATGCATTCTTCTTCCATCATTCCTGAAGTAGAGGTTTTCCTATAATCATATTAAGAACATAAGCTCCTGAGGGCAGGGATTTCTGCTCTGTTCACTGACTTATCTCAATTGCTAAGAACAGTGGAGTGCTCAATAAATATGTATTAAATAAATAAATGAATATAACCTATAACATAAACTACATTCTTAAAAAAAAAGTCAACATCCAGGAGATAAGACTCTAAAATAATACACATTACCCACTTAATGTCTCTTACACAGTCCACTAAATTTCAATACATCATAATTCTTAAACAAAAAATTCTGCTGAAATAGGATAATAATTATAAAAATACACCATAGTTTGTAAGATGCTGAACAAATGTTTGTTGGTATTTATCAATTATTTTAAGTCTTCTATCATTCCTATTTTTATCTTTTTTTTTTTTTTTTTGAGATGGAGTCTCGCTCTGTCACTCAGGATGGATCAGTTCACTGCAACCTCCACCTCCCGGGTTCAGGCTATTCTCCTGCCTCAGTCTCCCAAGTAGCTGGGACAACAGGTAAATGCTACCACACCAACGTCATTTTTATATTTTTAGTAGAGATAAGGTTTCATCATATTGGTCAGGTTGGTCTTGAACTCCTGACCTCATGATCCACCCACCTCGGCCTCTCAAAGTGTTGGGATTACAGGCATGAGCCACTGCGCCTGGCCTTTTAAAAAACATTTTATTCTTTACATTTGAAAGAAAGTATAGCTGGGAATACGTTTCTTAAAATAAGTTTAGAGTATAGGTTAAAGAAAAGGCTTTACCTATAACTTTATTCTTCTTTCCATTTTTTATAGGTGTACAAAGTAAACTTCTAATGCACTGCTGGTTTACATTTCCTGTGTTTTCAGTCTAAACAAAAACAAAAAGACAAAACAGCTAAAATGGTAAAGAGATTGATTTGTTCATTAGATGCCATATAAACTATATGGCACATTTGAAAGCACTATATATTCAACTTTTATATTACTTAGAGAACATTGGAGAGCAGAAAATGTACAAATTATAATAAAGTCCACATAAATGCAATATAAAGCAATATCTTTACTTGCTAAAAATATCAGATTTTTTCACTTCAAACTTTCCAAATAGCTTATACATAATAAGTAAAATGTAAAAATAAGTAAAAAAATAAGTAAAATAAGTAAAAGTATAGTATCTACTATACTGGTGTAGTAAATGTCCCAAATAACTTAACAAGAGGGGCAGAATCTAAACACTACCTAAAATGCTTCATGTTACAAACCTGTTCTTTAGTAATACCACTGTTTCTATTGCTATATTGCTAAAGTTCAAACAATGTCTCCTGGACATCAAAGAACAAAAGCAAGGCAGCTGCCTCAAGTGCAATGCTTTCCTGAAAAGGTGAGAGAAAATATTATAATTCAAATTTTTCCATGTCTGAGAACCAGATATTTATAGCTTTGAGGTCAAGAAAAACAGACATCCGTTTTCCCAGAGCTACACACTATGATAGATTATCAATTGCATTAGTTCAAGCCACACAGAAACTAATTTTTACAAGTAAGACAATAACTCTAGCAATATTATCTAAGGAATGTCATTGACATTATGTAAGTAATAGCTAAATTACTTCAAAAACAGTATGGTCACTTATTAATAGATGTTTAGAAAGGTAAAAAAATTACAAGGAGAAACACCCAAGTATAGCTCTCGATAGATGTTATGATCTATTTTATTTTCTTTCCTCAGATGAGGGAAAGCACAGATCATTCCTAAACAGCCAATTCTGGAGCTAGTCTTTCAGTTCAAGAAAAACTGTAAGTACATATCTGATGGGAAAACTGCCTTCTAGCTTCAGTCTAAAATTGGGTTACTTACTGTCCAGGGAAATCGTTTATCCTTACTGACATCTGGGATATTAAGTGGTTCCATAGTATTTTTGACATACTGAGCATACATGTAATTGATTTTGTTTGCATCATGTTCCCTGTGGAAATAACAGATATGAGTTCCCTCTGTGCAGTTAAAAAAAAAAGCATGGGCAAACAGCTAAATAAATGATTAAGGAAGAAAAACACCAGTCTTAAATTATAAGGCAAAATATATACTTATTTGGAAAATACAGCTTTAAATGTGTTTGATGATTTACAATTTGTCAGTTATATAGTTTAAATGTTTTGAAAAGGAAAAAATTTTTGCAGTTTACCCATCTGACAAAGGGCTGATATCCAGAATTTACAAAGAACTCAAACAGATTTACAAGAAAAAAACAAACAAGCCCATTCAAAAGTGGGCAAAGGATATGAACAGACACTTTACGAAAGAAGACATATATGAGGCCAACAATCATATGAAAAAATGCTCATCGTCACTGGTCATCAGAGAGATGCAAATCAAAACCACATTGAGATACCACCTCACGCCAGTTAGAATGGAGATCATTAAAAAATCTGGAGACAACAGATGCTGGAGAGGATGTGGAGAAAAAGGAACACTTTTATACTGTTGGTGGGAGTGTAAATTAGTCCAACCATTGTGGAAGACAGTGTGGCGATTCCTCAAGGCCTTAGAAATAGAAATTCCATTTGACCCAGCAATCCCATTACTGGGTATATACCCAAAGAACTATAAATCATTCTACTATAAGGACACATGCACACGAATGTTTATTGCAGCACTGTTTACAATAGCAAAGACCTGGAATCAACCCAAATGCCCATTGATAATAGACTGGATTGGAAAAATGTGGCACATATACACCATGGAATATTATGCAGCAATCAGAAATGATGAGTTCGTGTCGTTTGTAGGGACATGGATGAATCTGGAGAACATCATTCTCAGCAAACTGACACAAGAACAGAAAACGAAACACCGCATATTCTCACTCATAGGCGGGTGATGAAAAATGAGAACACATGGACACAGAGAGGGGAGTACTAAACACTGGGGTCTATTGGGGGGAAAAGGGGAGGGCCAGTGGGAGGGGGAGGTGGGGAGGGATGGCCTGAGGAGAAACGCCAAATGTGGGTGAAGGGGAGAAAGCAAACAGAACACACTGCCATGTGTATACCTATGCAACTGTATTGCATGCTCTGCACATGTACCCCAAAACCTAAAATGCAATAAAAAAAAAAGAAAAAGAGAGAAAATAAAAACTTCCAGTATCAAAATGCATTAGAACTAAAGGTGGAAGTTGCACAACAGTGTAAATGTACTAGGTGCCACTGAATTGTTCACTTTAAAATTTTATGTTATGTGAATTTCATCTCAATAAGTTTTTTTAAAAACACTATAAGTTCAACAACAAGGAGTCTCAAAAAGTAATACAAGGTCTACCAACGAAGAAAAGCCCAGGACATAATGGCTTTACTGCTGAATTCCACCAAACACTTAAAGAAGAACTAACATCAATCTTTATCAAACTCTTTCAAAAAATTGAAGTGGAGGGAATACTTCCAAACCCACATTACTAGGCAAGCACTACCTTGATACCAAAGCAAGATATGGACACTACAAGAAAATAAAATTACAGGCCAATATTACAGATGAATTTAGACATAAAAATCCTCAACAAAGTACTAACAAACTGAATTTGACAGTGCCATAAAAGAAACATTCACCATAATCTAGTGGGATTTATCCCTGGGATACAAGGAGGGTTCATCATATGCAAATCAATAAATGTGACACACTGCATTAACATAACGAAACACAAAAGCCATATGATCATCTTGATAGATGTAGAAAAAGCATTTAACAAAATTCAGCACCCTTTCATGGTAAAAACTCTCAACAGATTATGTATAGAAGGAATATACCAAAATACAATAAAGGCCATTCAGGACATAAAAAAAAAAAAAAATAGAAATGAACCCAAAATATATTAATACTCATCATCAGTGTAAATAGGTTAAAAAAAAAATAATAAAAAAATAAATGTTTTGAAAAGACAAAATCTCACAATTTTTCAACAAGTTTTTATACATGTAAATGGCCTTATTCTCATTGCAAATGGGCATGTCATTTAATGTAAATTCATATGTCCCTTCATGTCTTATTTTCTCATCAAATTATAGAATGCCAAAGGTCTAGTGCTTGTTTTACTTCTTCATTATTTGTTTTATCTATCCATCCCAATAAAACAGTATTATACACATTTTAAGACCGGGGGGAAAATAAAACAGCTTAGAAAAAAATTTAAAAGCTTTTCTCTCTAGTTAAGTCTATTTTCTTTCTCCTGTCTTTTTGTCGTGTCTTTCTTAACATATTTCCCTTTGTTCAGTTTCCTCTCCACCCCTTTTTTCTGCTTTGAGATGCTTTACGATATCTTTAGAATTAAAAATTTATCCTCCTCAAAAACTTTTCACGAACTTACAATATTTTTTACCAGTTATGTTCCAGTCTCTTGCTTCATAGATTGATCATGAAAGATTAATCTGATACCAGGGGATACAGTGTCAGTGCAAGGGATGGAAAACAGAAAGGAACATGTTTTTTCATCAGCAAACTCCTTATATTCCCTTGTGGTGATGATGAATTCAGCAAAGAGAGCCAGGTTATGGAAATTTACTCCATCTATAAGGACATGGTTTTTTTTTTGGTATTTATATTTTAACAGCACTCACTGAAGAAGTAGGAATGCCTAACAATAGCAGACATTTCAAAATAAAATCCAGTTGGCCCTCTACACCCACAGGTCTACATCTTTCGATTCACCCAACTGCAGTATCAAAAATAAGTCAAAGAAAGAAAAGTAACATAAATTAAAAAAATAGTAAAAAATAACAACTATTTAAATAGCAATTACACTATATTAGGTATTATAAATAATGTGGAGGGGATGTGCATAGGTTATAGGCAAATACTACATCATTTTATACAAGGGACTTTGGTGTCTATAGATTTCAGTATTCACAGGGGTGAATTTCCAGTATTCACAGGGGTGAACCAATTTCCCGAGGATACCGAGTGACAACAGCCTACATCTCAGGAAAAAATGTCCACTTGTTCTGAGTTTTCAAAGTTCCAATGTTCTGCTTATCTTCTGTTCTTCCTACCCAACCTGCCCAAGCTGCTTCTTGGGACAGTGGTTTCATATGGCATCCTTGAGAGCTAGTGATTCCATGAAGATTCCTGAACTCTATGTCCTTGTTTCTGGCCAAGATATTTTGGCCTTCCATTTGTTGTACATTTTACTTGAAGTGTAATGTGGTCAAACCAAGTACTGACCACTTGTGGAGTATCACGTATACATGAAAAAGAATGAAAAAGAAATGACAGAATAGTAACATAAGAGTAAATAAACTTTAAATGGAATATTTCTTGAGACTAGACCGAGAGTCTGTGAAGGCATGCCAGTTATCATACACATCAGACCTAAAACACTCCTGAGATCCTACCTCATACATATTATCTGGGTGACACTCAAGAAAGGGTTATATAAGTGCAGGTTTTAGTTTTAATAAAACAATGTTTAAAACTATAAATATTTTATAAATAGCAACAGCCTAGAGGGAAGAAAATAAGTAGCTATAGTGAAAAGGTGAGACAGGAGAATGAAGTACATTGGAGAAGTAAGTATTCTTGTAGAATCTCTTTTAAAATGATAATTATCATATAACTATTATTATTCTTATCATCATTATGGTAAGAGTAGGAGTCAGAAAAAAATCCAAACTGGTTAAGCAATTTATCAGAGATCACAAATTTGGACTTAAGTAGTTAATACTGAGAAGGAGAGGTACAAAAACTACTTATAAATCAACAAATACCTGGTATCTTATTCGACTCCCTGAAATTTTTTGGTTTTCCTGATGGTTACTTTAAGTGAAAAATGAGCATTAGATTAATTAAAGTTACATAATGCCATGTTTATTCCTTACTCTATAAGAAATGTTGATAAATTTTCAGTTTCTGCACTCAATAAATACAGATTGAATACCTTCTCCATCAGAGCCACCCTTAGCAGTATGTGGGAGACAAACTTACACAGGTTAGTAATTGTCATAGGAGCTTACAGTCTAGTAGAAGACTGTAACAGAATGAATGTGTTTAAATTACATGGACTCTTTGGGTAGAGTATAGTGCAGAGACTGCCAGTTGTCCTTCAATAATTTTCCTCCCTTCTGTTGGTCTAGACATATATGGCCACCCAGAATAAAGACCACATTTCTCAGTCACCCTACCAGCTTAGCATTTCCATCTGGCTAAGTTTTAGTCAACAAGATGTAAGAGAAAATGTTTGAGATGGCTTCTAATAACTTTCCTAAGAGACAGGTGATACATGCTATTTGTCCCTTCTTTTCCTGTCCCCCATCCTACTGTTTAAAATGTGGATATGATGGCTGGAGCTGCATCCTTATCCTGAAGGAAGGGGCCATACCCTGGGGATTTAAGGAAGAAAGTCCAAAGGTCCTTTGGTCCCTGAAGCCTTTGTGGAGCAGAGCTACAGCACAACCCTGAGCTGGCTACCTCTGGGTTTGTACAGGAGAGATTAATAATACTAAGTTCTTGTTTAAGAATAATATGTGTTCTTGTTTAAGCTATTTTTATTGTGGGTTTTCACGATCCACCTAATCCTAAGTGATTCAGTGTGACAATGCAAGTACCACACATGTGGAGAAGATGGACAGGTAGCACCTAAATGAAGTGGAATAGGGAAGAGGTGGCAATAGAGAAATGAATTCACAGTTGGCTGAGATTATTTAAAGGAGAGAAAGATATCAGGAATGAAAGGCAGAGAATTCGAGGCAGGAAAAAAAACAAAAACAAACAGTAAAAAATACATTGCTAACATGGAAGAGTTCTATGTGTAATTGGGAAATACTAAATTGTTACAGATTGTCAAGAATAAAATGATGATTTTAGGCTGAAAATATTGGGCTAGGACAAACAGTGAAAGATTTTGAAAGTGTAATATAAGGAATACGAATCTCATTTTTTCAATGATGGGAATATTATGGTGGCCCTTAGAATGTGGCTCAGAGCTCCAATTGCAGAAAGAGTAGCCAACCAATGTTTCAGATTGCTGTGCTCTGGAAGTCATCGCCATGTTTGCACTGAGGTCATGCCTAGCAGGGCTGGACCCAGACAAAATGACTGAGCCCACTAGGGACACTAAGGTAAGCCTAATCCTGGGAGACCCAGTATTCTTCTCACAGTAAATTTCAGATAAAGGACTTCCCAAAAGCCTTGCCAATCCTTCCTTAAAACTGTTCAACTGTCTAAGATACTTCTGCACAACTTTACTTCTTTCTTTCTTCCTCTCCTTAACTCTGAGTCAGACTTTTGTGTTAGTCTGATGGCTTTCCTGGCTCCTTCCCTCTTGTTCTCACAGGGTGTTCCTCTAATAAATTTCTGCACATTTAATCTCATCTTGGCATCTGTTTGATGAAGACCTGAACTAACTCAAACATCTAAGGCTCTTTGTACAATGTGTATCAATGGAATTGTATATAAATGCATTGTTAGGAAAACAGAATTAAGTACATAGAGCTTGGAAAAATAAGTTTCTGTGCTTTAGAATTAAATGGGAGTCACTGCAGGCTAATATAAACCAAAGACAAAAAAGTACATCAAAGAGACAGAGAACAATAGCTAACACTTACTGAGTACTTACTACATGCCAGAAAATTTCTGAGGCATTTTATATACATTATCTCATTTAATTCTTACTGCAAGCCTACTATTATTATAGATGAAGAAACTGAGGCTTTGAGAGATTAAATAACTTACATGAAGTCCCTCAGCTAGTAAGCCCAGTAAGTGGCAGAACTTAAATATTTATATGTAAATACAATCAGTCGGACTTCTACATTCTGATACTCTATATCCACAATTTTTTAAAATTCTTTACTTATTTAATTATACTTATATTTTCTAATATCGTAATCAATAACAAGTATAAACTAATAGATATATTGCTAGAAAATGGCCTTAAAGAATTAATTCTATGTAGTTGTCATTTTATGACACAAATGTGCATTTGTGAGTGAACATAAAGTTAATTAGTATGGAATTATAGCACCAAAATATCTGTTTATCAAAATAAAAAGCTAACATAAATTGTACAACATTATACTCATTTTTTCCTTCTAATTGGGTGGCTCTTAAATTGAAGTACAAAAACCCTAAAAATTCCCACCATCTGGAAATGAGCCTCCCTTCGGAAATTCCTGGGCAACTCAACTCCCAAGAGCTTACTATGATTTATCTCACTTATGATATGATGCTAATAATGATGTGCAATGTTCACCCTGAATATCTTGTTTTACTTTTAACATTTCAAAACCATCTTCAGTATATTATTTTAATTTATGAAGTAATTAGTGGATTGGTTAGAAAAATCCCGAATGAGTTATGCTTTTTAATTGATAAATAACAATCTAAAAAGAAAGATTTGCTTACTGCTACCAACAAATTGCCTAGCATTTCATCAAACTGAGAGATGGCAAAGTTTGGATTGGCACAGTTTTTAATAATGAGAATTGGAGTCCTAAATCCTTCCAACAATCAGTTTTAGAAACATAATAAAGAATCTGCTGGTGAAAAATAAGTATCAATATTAGTTTAGCCCCTTTTCAAAATGTTAACATTACTAAACACCATTTAAATTCAGTTTTATTGCAAAATAAGGCCTGTTACCTAATTTTCATTAAAATTAAAAAAAATATGTCTCAGAGGCCTTTTACTGTATCACTATAGTAAAAGCTAACTTTAAATATTTAGTCAACGTAAGCTATTACTGTTGAAATGATTGTAAAGTCAGTTAATAAAATCAGTTAAAATGATTCGTGTAAATTAGTCTCTTTTAAGGTAATCACACTGACCTGTTTATCCTTTATAAAAATATCTTTATACTAAGACTGTCTTGGAATCATTAAATCAATAAGTGGAAAGATACTTTCCATTTTGCCTACAGAGAGGGAATGTGGAATTTAAAAACAAATATATATAGCAAGACTCTTCTTGTGTTTTTTAAGTGCATATTTACCAGTAGAGGTCACTATCACACCAATTCACTGGATTTGTCCAGCTACTGCTAAAAGAAATTAGAGAGGGCCTGGATGAATTTATAAGAAAAAAATCAAAATGCCAATACCTAAAATATAATTACACAGAGATATGCTGCTGCACAAATATTAAAAGATAATGTAAATAATTCATCATTTGGACTTTTAATATGATTATCATGCTGATTTTCCTATTGTCCCATGGAGATAAAGGTAAGTATATAAACATAGCTGTATATATTTCTGTTTATATATAGTAACTCATTATTCATGCAAGCCAAAAAGTAAAATATTCAAATATTTACATGTGTCCTGACTAGAAACTTTCTAAAATATTCTTTTCAAAAAGGAAAAATGATAGTACAGCAAATCAAATTAATATATAGCAATGTACACATTATCACACATTCCAAAAGGATTCAATACTAACTAAAACTATGGTAAATCTGCTAGTAAATCCAGTGGCACTGGAGCTTAGAAAGGAATAAGTGTGGAGATGGGCTGTAATCTCAGCGCATGATCAGCAAAGCCGAGAGGGAAATAAAGATCAGCTATTGGATCATGACCATTTGAACCCCAAATTCCAGGACATCAGAAAACTCTCTAGGTAGCGAAACCATGGTTTATCTCCCTTGATTACCAACCTCATGCCCAAGTCAGCAGTCAAGGCTTAAAGTCAGGCATACCTTCTGAGTCAAATGAATTCCCCATCTGCCTCCAAGTTGTATTCCTGCCCTTTGCTAATTCCTAAAATTTTTTGAATAGGAGAAAAGGCCTTTACTTGCTCCACATTGTGAAAATAATAATCTAGTAATAATGAGTTTTGATTTAAATATAAATACTTAACAAAGTACCAACTTTAAGTCACTGTGGTCACTAGTCTCTCCATCTTGATGGAGGAAGACTTAGGACCAGAAATGTGAGAAAAGACAAGAGACAATAAAATAATCTGTAGCTTATATATCTTAAGTCAAACTGGTCATGCAATAACTATTTAGCCAATATTAGATACATGTGATAATGACAAGAGAATAAATGCTTTTACCTTGTTAATGCATCAGATGATTTTTCTAATTCCTCACACTCCATGTGAAACACACTAGAAAAAGAATCCTGGAAATGGAGAGAAAACACAGACTGAGAAATAAGTTTGACAAGGTAAAGAAAACTACCTAGATACAGACACACATGCTATGGAACTGACCAAAAAAAACCCAATACTTGTAATATATTTTTACTTACTCTTGGGAAAAAATAGATCCAAGTACTCATTTCATGACATCCTCAAAACTTCCCATTTAATAAATAAAAGTTTTGTTCATATGATTTCTGATTTTCTCTTGCAAAAATGATGATTTGAATAGTAATTTTGTTTTTTTTTTTTTAACACTAGGTGCTGATGGATTTCTTAGTGTCAAAATTTTTTATGCTTATTGAAAATTCTCTGGCTTTTAAGTATACAATGATAGTTGTTAAATACCCGGTAAACAATCACTTCTTAAAAAGATGTCTCATTCAGTAATATTTTATGTGATTATTAAAATAATTGTGACAATTTTAACAACATAGAGTAATACTTTTGAAATTACATTAAAGGCCAGGTGTGGTGGTTCATGCCCAAAACGTTGGGAGACCAGTGCGGGCGAATCACTTGAGGCCAGGAGTTTGAGACCAGCCTGGCCAACATGGTAAAACCCGCACTATATGAAAAATACAAAAATTAGCTCGGCATGGTGGCACGTGGTTGTAATCCCAGCTATTGGGGAGGCTGAGACACAAGAATTTCTTGAATCTGGGAGGCCCAGGTTGCAATGAGCCAAGATTGTGAGATTGTGCCACTGCACTCCAGCCTGAATGATACAGCAATATTCTTTCTCAAAAATAAGAAAGAAAAAGAAATTTTAATCACATTAAAAAGCAGAACAGCATATTGCATCCATGCTCTATTTATACAGAATTGGAAGAAAGTAGGAAAAAAAAAATCACAGTTTAATGTGGAGATGGAAGAAATCTGTACATTCTTTTCCTCCTTACATTATCATCTTTGCTCATGTTGTTGATGTATTTTTAAACAACAAATAAATGTAATACAATTGAATATCAAGTCACTTAATTCCTTTTCTAAATCCTACAACTTAAGTGGTCAAAAAGTGAGCAAAATATCCTAATAGGCATATTGTTGAGAAATACTTCAAAGCAGGACTGATCCAAATCACTGTATGTTATCTGGGAGAAGTATGCATTGAATGCTAATTAAAGTGATAAAAGTTGTTTTAAAAAAGGAGTGCTTCATGTATAACTTTCAAAAATTAAATGCAAAAAGTGAGTCACAGAGCAAAAATTACAGATTAAGTGGCACACTACATTAAGGAATTCAGGACCTGAACTTTAAAATAATAGCTGCTATCTTGTAATCACTTCTATATTAAGGTTTTTATAACTGATTGAAAAATATTAAATAGTATCTATGAAAATACCAATTATTTTTTAGCCCAGTGAGCTCTCATTTGATATTTTATTAATGAGAATTTTGTATTAACGCATCCATCTGGCGTATATACACATCCCAAATGGTTGAGATATTGAGTCATACAGTATAGTCTTTATATCTAAACCAACTAAAATTTCTTAATATAAATTAAGTATTGAATACCTTTTATTATTCTACATCCCCCCAAATATAACTTCAGATATTATGTATAGATTATAACTGACCTATACAAGTGGTAGTCCACACTCTCTTTCCTATTAATCCACAAATGAACAACATATTCTTAAAGACTAAAGGAAAAAGAAAACAAACATACAGCAGAAAGAAATATTCCAAAAACAGTGGTTCATAACTTGAGAAGGGAGAGAAAGTGCATAAAGAAAAACTGCCTTAGGCCAGGAGCCCGATTCTACTGGTAAACTTGATAGCTGGCCTGTCTGTAGCTGGCACTCTGTGACAATATCTTTCCCCAGACACCTGAAATGTTTCTTCACATTATAAAATCACTGGACTGAAATCCACCAGTTAGAATAGTTTAGTGGTTTTCCACTGTTGGCAAAATATGGGACTTACAGGGGTCATTAGTAAAACTCCTACTAGGCTATGCTTTTTGGGTTCTGTACAATTTCTTGAAAAAATAAATTTTTATACCCAACCCATTCAGAATGGGGAGTCTCCCTGTTCATAGCAACTAGGGCACCAGTATTCCTAACCATGAAAAGTTAGCACACTGTAATGACAATATATTTCTCCATGAAGACAGTGTAGCCATTGATAGAAGCAGCACACAGACATTCCCATGGTAACTATTTGCAGGGGGGTGAGATGGGGATATGAACAATGGTAAACAAGGGTGATGAAGGCACCCTCCACCTTCTAACCCTACCTGTCTTCAACCAGAACAGCTCATACTCTGATTGGCTTTACATACATATCCATACACATTTGAGTTTAAAAGAGGGTTCTAAGACCAAAACGACATTTAAAAGCAGTGCTTACAGAAATATAAGGTTTTGTCTTTCTAAAAATGAAAAAGTCATACTCTGTACTCACGGAGCAATCTTCATCCACTATGAAAATGGTGCATTTCTGTACTTGCATGAAAGAGATAATGGTGGCAGCTATTTTCTTTAGAATTACTTCTAATGATTGTTGTTCTTCAAAAATTAAACTAGCAAGGTCAAGCAGCACCTAGACAAAAAAATTAAGAGCTTATTATTTGGCAATTTTTTGTCATTATTAAAGCACAATTATTTATATGGGTTATAAATTGCTTATATAATCTAGCAGGTTATGACCCAGTCTACATTCAAATATTAAATATGTCTCCACTTATTAACAAAATTCTCTGTTGACTGTTAATATAATTAATATAGTTGTTAAGATCACAGGCTCTGAAGTCAGAGTAATCAGTTTTTAGTCCTGACTTCCTTCCCTGCTAGCTTTGAGACTGAGGGCAAATTTCTTGAACATGGGGATATTAATAACACCAAAATCATAGGGCTGTTGGGAGGATTAAGATAATATTTATAAAGTATTTTTAACATTATCTGGTACATAAAACATATTGTTAATGTTCCAAACTTTTTAGATTAATAATAGTCAACATTATCAATATTTTTACAGAGCACAGCAAATATTACCCAAAGTAAACAAAATTTTTAAAAATTTCTTTTGATTTCTCTTCCTTTCAAACCTCATAGATATTACTAAAAACTCCATGGAGGTGACACTATCCTAGCTGAGGTCTGAAAGATGAGTAGGAATCATTCAGGTGAAACAGAGAAGAGAAGAAATATTTCAGGCAAAAAGCAACAGAATTGAGAGAAAGTAGCACACTGAAAATTTTGATCAGGTTTGACAAAAGAATAGACTAAAAAGAGAAGAACTGGGAGATGAGAATGCAGCATTAAGCAGAAAAAGAACCTGAACAGCACTGTACGTCTTTTGAAGCACTTTAGACTGTGATGCACTGCAGGAAGGAAGTGCTATAATCACATCTGTTTGTAAAAATGAGGATTGGATGAAAGGATGGCAAGAACAGAGCAGGGAGAACACTGCAGTTAAAGTCAATGGAAGGTCCCATATCTTATTACCACCAATCCTAAAAAGAGAAAATCGAGGGTAAAGAAGATGAATTATCAAATAAATAATGAAAAAAGAATCATACAGAAGTGAACAGTTTGCTTAAGCCTCCAAAGAGATGAACCAACATACAGGTACCAGCATGATGAATGAAAAAAGAGTAATATTGTGAAATTAAGTTACAAAAGCAAATATAAATAATCTGAAAAGCTTATAGACACTTAGACAAAAATAGATATATATATATAATAGAAAATACAAAGTATGTATTACATATTGTTATATATTAATATACATTATAGATAATAAATATAAAATATCTACAAAAGAGCCATGAATGAGGACAACATAAATGCTAGTTAGAAGACAAAGCACTACCTCTAAATTCTGAGAAACTGATTTTTCAATGTAGAATTTTATACCCAGCCAAAGTGGCAGGATGGTACAATACATATTTTCATACATGCAAGGACTCTGAAAGTTTACTTCATCAATATCCTTTCTTAAATAGTTAATTGAGAATGTGCTGCAACAAAATAAGGAAATGAGAAAGAAGTAGGGATCCCAAAAATAGTGAAATCTTTCTAAGAAAGCAGTGAAGAGAAGTTCTATGATGACACTAGTATAACAGGCATAGGTCTGAATAGTTTAGCTTGGAAGAAGAAAAGTTGGAGAATCTCAGTTTGAACATCTCCAAGCAGAAGCAGAAGGAAAACTCAACAGGATGCCTAATATAATGGAGTTTAGGGGGAAAAAAAATCAAACAAGAACATGAGGCTATACTACAGCAAACAGTTCAAGGGAAAAAAAAATCAGAAACATCAGGAAAAATGCAAAGTTCTATAACAAAGGTAATATGAACAATATTTACATAATCATAATAGTTATAAATAGTTTGTTTAAAATTGCAACTTTAGATTTAATCTAGACAAAGCCTAGGAAAAGTTCATCATGGTTGTAGAACAATATATATTACCAATGTGGGCAATTATAAAAGAAAAAGTCCAAATGAGAAAAGCAGGGCCAAGGAGTAGTAGTTGGGAAAGAGAGATAAAGAGAACAGGGATGCTAAGATATCCATCTCACAAAATATGAAATCAAGAGTAATATCTATAATTGACAGAGCAAGAACTAAAACCATTACTTAACATCACAAGTGCAACTCATACAGTGACTAAAAACAGTGATATAACAATACTGGTAGGATAAGGGTAATGGCAAGTAAGGTGTGGTGTAAGTCAATTAAATCCTCATCTCTCAAGTTAATGAACATTGTCTAACAAGATAAACAACTGAGCATGGAAAATAGGAAATAGAAATGACTACTAGGAAAAATGGCTAAAGTATTGAGAAACTGAATCAGTACTATCTAAATTTTTAATCATCTGTATACATTATTTGGATAAAAATGTAACAATTTTTAAGAAGTATTTTTATACTCTTTCTTTAGTAATCAGACTGACCTGATTTCTCTTGTTCTCCAGCAGTGAAGTCTCATAGAGCTGAGCATTATGAAGAACAATACCACAAAATGCCAAATAAGCAGCAAAGTCCTAAAAAACAGATAAGAGAAATAAAAACTGTATATAAAACAGTTTAGTTATATTGCTTGAAATACAAAAGACATCCCCAAATATTTACAGTTAGAAAGCCAAAAGAGTAGATGTTTGTTCTACATAAAATTAGGATGATATAAACCAAGTCTTAGCTAAGGGTGTTGGAGCAGTCTCCTAAGGTCATACATTAGGTATAAATCAATTAAGAGAAAAAGGAGAGGAACTAAGATAAAGACCTCTTTTTACATCTGAAGTTACAATTCAATTCTATGCAAAATTTGGTTTCACCTATCCATGATATTAAGTCTTCTATATATACTGAAACTATTATATAAGTAGCTTGTAATTCATTAATGCAGCAAACAACAGCTTATGTACCTTGTTATACTATACTAGGGTAATGTGTTTACAATTATATTAATTATTGATTGAAATAAATCTTTAGATAGCATACTTTATTCACAATGTGATACAGCCTTAAAAATTGCAAATCAATTCAGGAGGGAGTTATATTAATGGATTATATATATATTAATGGAATATAAAGCCAATCCAAGAACCATGTTTTCACACCAACTATTCTCAAGTGCCATGAACAGAATAGAAGCCTAGATGTCTGTTACTACTCTGATTTTAAAAAGTATTTACTATGTTCTGAAGCAATTAAAACAAGAGAACCAACACAGGTGCCAACCTAGCCTATAGCACCAAGACAAAAATTACTGTCTTGTTCGAATGTCTTCCAAATTCAAAAGCTCCTACTAATTTTCAGGGAAACAAAATAAACAGCAAGGGGCTTGTAACAGAAGTAATTCAATAGGCTATGATATACACCTAATTACATATTCAATAGGAGAAATAATGAAACCTACTCACAGAATGAGGTTATCAACAAGTTTAAGGGCTTTTGTCCTTAAACAGAAAGTGTGCCAATGTGGTGTGTGGAAGGTATTCCTTGAACGAGGAGAGTAATAAAATAATGCTGGCTGTTGTTCTTTCTGGAGCTACATTTACATCATACAGCCTGAATGCACACCTTGGCGCCCCACCGTCTGTGTGCAAGGCTTATAAAACACTCAGAAATTTGCTACACCCGGAGGCAATTCCAATTTTTAGCCAACCAGTAGGGCTGAACTTGGAGCAGTGTTTTTATGGGTTTTTACTCAAGGTTGGATCTCTATAGCAGCGATGAAAGGTAAATGAGATAGTTAAAATACCATAAGTCACCCTCTGTGTAGCCCCAACATACCCAGTGGAGGCTTGGCAGCACAGCAAGGACAGAATTTGGGGGTTTCTGCTGACTGCATAACACAAGTACTCAGATGTGAAATCATCGCTGTATTTAGCCTAAGATACACTTTTGAACATTTTGGATCATTTTTAACTATGTTTTTTGTGACCAACAATTTGAGCAACAGCTAATCCCAACTATAAAGAGAAAGCATCTTCCTAAATTGGCTCATGCCTGACCCAAGTTTTGGTACCTTTTCATCTTTTTCAGTAAATGTCCCACCATTTCCCGATTTCTTGTTGATGGCCTGGGCTACACCAACAACCTGGTATAAGGAAAGAAAAATGACAAATTTTTTATTGACTGAAATTACTGGTAAAAAAATCCCCAAAATGTGTTTATTGAAGATATTTCACATGTGCTTTAAAATAACACTAGACTACAAAACAAAAGCAAAACCTCTCATGAACATTTGAACAAGCTCCACATCATTTACCATATTCTTTCTTCCTAATAAGAATTTGAATGTTTTTAATTTCTTAGTGCCCAAACTATGTTTGATCCTGTGATTTCACCCTGCATTTTGAATGAAATTATTTTAGCAATCATATGTTAAAGTATATATTTTCCATGGTTTTAAAATATAAACAACAAACTTTGATTATAGTTCAAACAAAGTATATAAAAAATAACATTGTCATATGGGTTTTAAATATAATATTTCAAAAGAGCTAAATGTTATTTTACTAAAAATGAAACAGGACCTAGTGGCCAATCATGGAAGGAATGAAGGAGGATCATTTAGGGCAAAAATAATTCTTAATGTAGGAATGTAGTCCAACTTCTTTTGAAATTTCTGTGCTTGAAAATTATTTTACCTTCAACAGACTTATTTTTGGGAAAGAGGGTACTGAAAAATCAGAACAGGAATTAATAGCTTGAGGCTTATTTCAAATAGATCAGAAGGCTTTTGAAAGTTACTTACTTTTTAGTTCCACCTTCATTTTAAGTGATTTACATTAGTCTTATAAAGACCTTCAACTTACTCTTCCCTCCTCTTTATTACTTATAAATTCTACTCTTTCCTTTCTTCTGCTATTTAATATCAGTGGAATAAGCTATTATCCTTTAACTGGCCATACTTCAGAAATATGCATCCTCAGTTTTATGAGGGTGGTTCACTTTGTTTTCTCAGCTCATTATAGTGTCTTAGCTTTAAGAAAAATATAAAAAATTCTCCTCTAGGATAGCAGAACAAGGAAGGGGAAATATGTTCTTGTCTTATGTAGTTTTCTAGTCTTCTTAACATTTCTCTCTTTTTTTTTTTTGCCCATATGGTAAAGCGTTTTTGTTTTTGTTTTTTTTTTAAGCAGAATTATGCAACTATCCTATACCTTTTTATTTCCCTTAGGGCAACTCTCTCTTATTTTTACATACTCTTTAGCTCTTGAAAATAGCGGCAGATTTCTAGATGTTAAAACCACAGTGGCTAAATTTCTAGTAAAATTTGTCTAAGGTCAAAAATATCTGGATTGTAGTTAGGAATATTCACTGGAACTATAACTAATAAGAGCCACTTGAAGGTCACTGGGGTCTAACATAGAGTAGTATACTTCAGTTATTTTTAAATGCTCAGATGTTCATTCATCCACTCAACAAAGACTGTAGTGCCTATTATGTACCAAAACGTAATAAACTGGGGAAGTGATTACTCTGAAGGAGCTCAGAATCAAGAATGAGTGATACATAAACAGAGACCTATAGCATAGTAGGATGGTGGGATCAGTTTCATAAAACAGTGGCCATGGATTTCTAGGAGCACTGTCAGGGCACTTAATGTGAGTAAAAGAGAAGGCTTCTCTGAAATTATATTTAAATTTTTCTTTTTCTCTAATAAAGGAAAGACATAAACTTTAAATATGTGTTTTAAGAAGATGAGCTTCAAACAGATATAGAAAGTATTATGCAAAGTTTCTGATAAATATGCAGTTTAAAAAGTATATATTGATATGCTATCTATACCTGGAACCGTATGAAGCAATGTACTCAGCGAGAAAACAAAGAGAAAACTCTCTCACTCAAAAACATAAAGAAACAAAAAACCAGCTGCTTATTAAATGATCCCTAAGCAAACTATATTAACATTTTAGTCTATCATCATATCAACATAAATTTACAGAGATGATGATTCCTTTCAGTCCTTTTTTCTTCTCTTTGAGACAGGGTCTTGCTCTGTTGCCCAGGTTGGAGTGCAGTGGCACAATCACAGCTCACTGCAGCCTTGATCTTCCAGGCTGGGGCTGTTCTCCCACCTCAGCTTCCAAGTAGCTGGGAGTACAGGTATATACCACCATGCCTGGTTAAATTTTTAAACATTTTTGGTAGAGACGAGGTCTCATGATGCCCAGGCTGGTCCCAAACTCCTGCACTCAAGCAATCCTTCCACTATGGCCTCCCAAAGTGCTGGGATTACAAACATACAGTAAGATAGAAGAAATAAATTCAATGTTTTACAGCATAGTAGGGTGACTTTACTTAACAAAATTGTATTGTATTATGCGTAACAGACACCAGAAATACCCCAACTTGATTACTATGCATTATATATACATAACAAAGTTTCATATATGCCCTGTAAATTTCTACTAACAAATAAATAAAAATAGAAAAACAAACCAAGCAAGTTCTGTCAAAAGATTATTAGACCAGGAAAATATAGTTGGTCCTTTGTATTCAACTGTGATAGAAAATATTTGACAAAAAAAATTTTTTTAAACCCACAGCAATAAAAATAACTTAAAATAAACACAGTAGGTCAATTATGTACAGAGCCTTCACATCATATTAGGAAGTATAAGTAATCTAGGGGTGTGCTTGGGGTAGGGGCCTGAAAAATGGCTCCTCTCTTTACAACACATGGAACAGGCATCTGGGGTCACCGTGACAAGGTGTACAAAATTTGTGGCTCCCTAAGAACAAATGTCCCACATGTGTAACCAAAAAAAAATAATAATAATCCAGAGATGATTTACTGTGTATCAAAACCTGAGAGGATATCACAAGTTTTATGCAAATACTATGCCATTTTATATAAGGGACTTGGACATTCACAGATTTTCGTATGAAGGGATGAAGTGGGTCCCGAAATCAATCCCTTTTTGTATACTGAGGGACAACTGTGTATCTAATATGTATATGTGCCTCCATCCTCAGATAGATGACATTTTAAAAATGACACTGATAAAAACAGATAAAAATAGAAGAAAAGGCATAGTGCTTGTCCAGGATCGTATACAGAAAAAAAAGGACAAAGAATAGTTTAATTATCTGAATTTAAGGATCCTGAGCAAAATTAGCACCCTCTGCCCTCTTATGTTCATATAACATCGGTCCTTCCTTCTGCTGTCATCCATTGCTTCTTTAAACAAATTAGATCATTGTCTTTAAATCACGAAACTGCTAACTATGGGGATTTGAAATGTCTGTTTCAACGACAGCTTTAACTGTAAGTATATGACAGACTTCACACATGAGAGGCAGCATCCCTAACAACATTAGCTTCCTCATCAGAATGTCCACTCACTTTTGCCTACCTGCTGGCTAACTGTACTCTCTGATATAGGTACTCCATGCTATTTTTGTAAAATCGCAAAAAAAGCCTTTCTGTTTTCTATTTTACTGGCACTATGCACAACATAAATGGATGTTATGTCCTCACAGGGTAGAGTGTTCTTTTAGGAATGCAAAGGCCAAGACTTGATTCTCACTGGGTGAGCAGTGTGGAATGTGACAGCTGGTTGTTTCAGGGCAACTGATCATTGCCACAGTGAGCAGTTTCTTCTCAATAAGCAGCTGCCCCAGACATTTACTGAGGCCATATATCAATCCCAATACATTTCCCCCATCCCCAGTTCAGGGGATGCTCAGAATGGAAACTAAAAGCAAAGGAGGAAAGGACAGACTACAAATCTATCCCTCTCTCTCAGTCTCAGAATATCTCCATTGCAATGACAGGACTCTAGACAGCTTAATCTCAGCCAAATACAAACTTCACTAGGAAAACTAGTACTTAAGGATATACAGAGGTGTTTGGGGAGAACTTTCCCTAGTGCTCTTTTCAAACTTTTCTTGACTTATTTATTCATTCTGCCATACTTTATTCAACAACTACTAAGTGCCTTTATGTACCAATAGTGAACAAAACAGATGAAAATCCTTGTCCTCATGGAGCTGACATTCCAATCAGTGTTAGGCTTAGGAATCCCACCCCCAGAGACGCCCCCACCCACCTGCTTTACAGATGAACAAACTGAGAGTGAGAGTTGACACAACCTATCCAGGCTTTCTGACCTCTCTTCTGAATCCTAAGGAATCATCAAGTTATGGCAATATTCCATGTGGTAGGCAAAATGATGGCCCCAAAGATGTCCTCGTCCTAATCTCTGGAACCTATGACTATGTGACCCTTAAATGACAAAAGGGGTTTTTCACATGCAATAAAATTGAAGATCTAGAGATGGGGAGATTATCCTGAATCATTTGGGTGGACCCAATATAATCGCAAGGATCCTTGTAAGGAAGAGTGGTAGGCAGGAGAGGCATAGTTAAGAAAACATTTGATGATGCTATGCTGCAGGTTTTGAAGATGGAGGAAGGGGCCATTAGCAAAGGGCTATAGGCAGCCTGTGGAAGCTAGAAAGGGCAAGAGAACAGGTCCATCTCTAGAGACTCCACATAGAGACACAGCCCTGTAGATGCCCTGATTTTAGCCCACTGAGAACTAATTTATATTCTGAAAACTTCAAATTACACATGTGTGCTATTTTAAGTCACTAAATTTCTGGTAGTGATTTTTTTTTTTTACAGCAGCATTAAGAAACCATTACACTCCATTCAATTATGAGTCTTATATTCTTGCATTCTTTTTCTTCCTCACCCCATATTATCTCTTCTGTTTTACTATGTAAATCCTCACTGTCTTTGAAGAACTTGACGTCTCATTCCTAATCATCTTCTTGCCTTCACTCCATCTTTGACACTTTAGCCAAATTTATCTTCTGTGGGCACTGTTTTGCATACACAGATCACCTCATTTCTCAAAATTGTAACGGTTTCACCCACCTACAGAATAAAGTTAAAGACTCTATCTAACATTCCACACCCTCAACTAGATCACTTACATGGGTCTTTGAATTAGAATACTGAAATGTGCTTTGTTCATGTCATTCCTTGAAATATCACCTTCCATATTCTCTACTGAGGCGGAATCTCCAAAAACCTTTCCTTTTAAACCCTCTGATACTCTATGTGGCAGTTTTATATGCTGTACACCAGACAGGGTATTCCTCTTTAACCTTTTAACCTTATTTTCTCTACTCACATCCTAACCCTGCAATTAGATTGTCATCTAAGGACATGATTTATATCTTATGCCTTATGCTATTATCAACACTTTGCATTGTTTTACACATACTCGATGGTTGAATAATATTTGTTGCTGATGATGATGGGAAAAATTATAGAAAGAATAAAATGTTTTGGGGCGATGTATTAACTAAACAATACACATTCAAATAACAGTATCTTCCCATTTTTGGCTCTAACCTTTGCTCAATATTAAGAAATCCATCCATATCTGAGAACTTTGTGTGGCAGTAAAAACTTTATGTTCTTAATAAGCCATTAATTATGGAGTTGAAATGTATAGCCTAAGACGATATTGGAGGAGAGAAGAAAGAAAAGCTTGAGATTATTTAATTTTTAATTTAAAAAGTATCAAAAATCATGAAGAATGAAATAGTAAACATCCACGCCTTTGTCATCTAAAACAGTGGTAGTGTAAGACTTGTTAAAACACAGTTTCATGGGTCTACCCCCCAAATTTCAGATTTTGTAGATCTAGACTGGGGCCTTTATTTCTAAAAGTTCTCAGGTGATTACAAATGCTGCTAGTCCAGGGACAAAAGACAGGTTTAGAACTACTGATACAGAATTACTAAATGTTAATATGATGATGTTTCCTTTATTGTTACTATTTAATTAAGATAAAATTAAATTGGGCTTCCTCTTTTCAGTTTCATTCTTCTCCCTCCTGTTCCTCCTACCCATAGTCAACCTTCTTCATTATACTCTTAAAAATGTATAAATCTATACACAAAACATAGTCCTTTTATCTTTCAAAATGTTTCTGAAATGAAATAATAGAGTGTGAATCATTTTGCAACTTGTAATTGTATTCAATGTTGTTTTTTAAGATCAATTCATATAGATCTGATTCATTCATTTTATATACAATACTGCATTCCACATCAAACTGTATTTATTTGATCCCCAAGGAATGAATGTTCGGGTTGTTTGCAACTTTTGCGCTACTAGAATCTTTAAGAAACATATTTGTATATTCTTCTTGTGCACATGTGCAGCAACTTCTCTGGTTAAATCTTCAAAGAGATTACTACTTTTACTAGTAAGGCATGAGAGTCTCCATTAAACTCACATCCTTACCAGCACCTGGTATTATCAGACTTTTTCAATGTTTGTCAATCAGATGGGTATAAAACCATGTATCACTGTTGCTTTATTTTGTAATTTGTATTTTCCTGATTACTAGAGAGAACGACCATCTTTTCATCGTTATTGGCTAACCGGATATCCTCTTCTGTGTTACCTATGTGTACATTTGCCAATTTTGACCTTTTTAGTTATGGTTTTGGGGTGAGCATCTATTAATAAATTTTATAATCAAAGTGAGATATTTATTTAAGTGACTGGTAAGACTGACTTATCCTTCTGTATATACAGGCACTTTTATACCTACTATTTATCTCAAGAGAATGGTCAGAGATCTTCCATAGTTGGGGGACAAGACAAGGATAAATAGAGGAGAATGATGCTTTTAGTTTATTCTCACAGTCTTCAAGGCTATGAATGGGCAGCCAAATAAGTTAGAGAGAAGCTTCTAAGGAAGGGCAAGATACGAAAAAGAGTGCCCTGAAGATAACTGGCATCAGAAATAACATGATCAATGCCAGTGTTTCTAATATAGTTAAGAAATCTCTTCCTAGCTAAAATCAGAAACATTCAAATGCCAAAAATCTTGCCATTAAATGAAGGAAAAGGGAGGACTTGCCATGTAACAGGCACTTTGTAACTGTTCATTCATTTAATCCTTGGCATAACCCTTTAATTATCATTCCTACTTTATCACAGAGCAATCTGATATTCAGAAAACTTACATTGTTGGTCCATGAATATGCAGACCCAGACACTCTCCAGACTTGATCCCAAAGCCTGCAATTCTTTCTACTACTCGTCACAGGAAAAAGTGAAATCAGCCCTAGTATAAAATACAGGCTCTTTTTTTTTTTTTTTTTTTTTTTTTGACATGGAGTCTTGCTCTGTGCCCAAGCTGGAGTGTAATGGCATGATCTTGGCTCAATGCAACCTCCGCCTCCCTGATTCAAGCAATTCTCCTGCCTCAGCCTCCTGAGTACCTAGGATTACACGCACATGCCACCATGCCCAACTAATTTTTGAATTTTTTGTAGAGATAGGGTTTCACCATATTGGTGAGGCTGATATTGAACTCCTGACCTCGTGATCCATCTGCCTCAGCCTCCCAAACAGCTCACACCTTTTGGGATTAGAGGTGTGAGCCACCGTGCTCAGCCAAAATATAATCTCTTATGGACTATTCTTTTATACTCAAGGAATCATGGAGACAAAGGGTCCTCCAGTACACACCAAGGGTTAATCTTTGGATCTCATAGGTATGCTTATCTTCTTAATGCATATTTTCATCAAAAGGAATGGAACAATTTCAAAATTATAACTCTAAGAAACAAAGACAATCCAAAGTGGCTGCTAAAGTTGTTTTCTTAGACTTAGATTATAAGTCTCATAACAAGTTTTCACAGCCAAGAACCACTTATGCAACATTAAAAAAAAAATCCTGTGTTTCAAGGAAAAGTGGATAATAATGCAGTCTCAAAA